CCCCCCCCCCCTACCCCCGCCTTGTCTTCGTCAGTACACTTTGGCTGTCTGTTTGGTACTACTTTGCTGCTATCTCCTGGTTTGCCAAATTTGGCGACTCAAAAATTTGACACCTCTCTTAAATTGCCTTCTCTGCATATAAACAGGTACTGCTCAAAATTTTAAAAAATTGTTAAGAGAAAGTTTGAGCCAACCGTTTGTTAATTTTAAGTTCCCCTCAAAAATGGACGAAAAGACAATTTTGAATCATGCGAATTCGATGATCCATTGCTCATAAATCGTGATTTTTCAATATTTGGTAGTTTGCTGGAAATCTGCGGTTGACCTAAGGTATCTTTGACAACGTTCACCTAATGGCAAGCGGTGAAGGACCCTAATAGTGCCTAAAACATCACAATTGACTCTCACAGTGGAACGGAAAAATCTTGGGTCCACTCATTGGTTACTTCCTATCAGAAGGACCCATCGGTAGATGTGAAGTATACCTCCAATTTGCTTTTACTTTCATCTTATTCGTTTGGCTAGCCACTTTCCCACTTGGCACAAATTGTGAAAATGCAAGTGACATTTTAAGGCGCGAGACCTCCATTTGCAGGGTTACGAGTTAGTCTTCACAAGGAATATCACAATATTCATGAGACGCTTTCGTGAGAGACGCGGAGGTGAAATCATTGAATTTACGCATCTGCTATGAGAATGGAGATACAACCAATGAGATGCTGCTGCAATATGTGAGAAATTTTTTGTTTTGATTGAAACATTTATTTATTTATATCAAATGCCAGGCGTTTTGATAGTTATCATTAACCCTTTAGCTGACTTTGGGCTTCACAGAGAGGAGGAGGAGGAACATCAAAGTGATAAAAGTCAAGAGGGGGACAGAACAATGATTCATAGATGTAAAAGAGACAGACAGACAGACACAAAGGCAGGGAAAAGGTAAGGTGAGTACTGTGAAGGAGTCGAATATGACATGCAGTGGGGTGATGGTAGTTTGAAGTCAGAAGTAAACTCTCGATTAATAGATGGGTAGTTTGAAGTGAGAAGTCAACTGCCAGTTAATATAATTTTTTGTGAAGTCAGAAGTAAACTCTCGATTAATAGATTTTTTTGCCGTATGAGTATACGTTGCTCAGGGTGCACCACGTGGAGGTAAATCTATCGCATACCCCATTGATTGAAACATCGTAGACTAAAGAAGACGACATTTGAATTAGTTCACACGAATGCAAGGGTCATTTGCTGCACGTGAACCACGACCCTCTATCGCTTCATTATCGTGTTCTTCAGAATTCGCTAGAAATCGATTTTCCTCAAGAAGAGTCCTCAATAAGAGTGCACATGTCTGCACTTAGCTTCAATTTGTCTCCCAATGTGGAAATCAATGTTAATGCTATTTTTGCAAAGGTTTGAAAAAAAGATTTTCTTTTAAGCTTTGTTAACCGATCCGGCCATCTGAGAGTGATAAACACCGTAAGCTCCGTGTGTGTGTGTGTGTGTGTGTGTGTGTGTGGGAAATACTGAAATGGAGAAGACGAAATTGATGACGGAGTGTTCGATTCAGCTGTCAAAATGAATTCATGTGCACCTCTAATGATGCAAACAAAACTCTCAGGATGGTAATTCGGTCGTCAAATCCGTCGATAGCATCTACTGATTTCGAATTTGAATTTCACTGTTAGTTTTATGAAACAATTGATCCGTTCCTTCTTGTTAAAATTCCTCCAATTTTGCCACTCAGTCGCTATGAAAGCCTAACAAATACCTTCATAGCCCTTTCTGGTATCCCTTATATCAAATTGAATGTCTACTAATCACAATATTATTATTATTATTATTATTATTATTATTTTCAAAACGTGTCTTGCTCGGCGCGACTGTACTCAAATAATCTGTAGCTATAAGTTAACATCGCGCTGGAGGATTCTGCGATATTTTAAAGTATTCAAATGGGAAGTCCAATCCCTGAGTGTTCAATCAGCCTAAGTGACTCATGCCGAACTCATTGTGAATCTTCAAACGCTTCTCTCTCTCGAGGGGTTATGAAACTGAAAGTGCAAGCAGGCTGGACAACAGTACAATCTTATTCAAAGTGATTACAAATCACATTTCGAATCGCCTCATTTGTCAAGACTGTAATGCTGCAAGCATATTTTATCTTCAGGACCTTGCTGTGATAAATTCCCTGTAAATTCAGAAGTTAGGCTTTCATTAAGAGGAAACGGAGTATTAACCCACTTGAAATTTACACCAAGGCGGAGAACCTGCTGGAAATTTCAAAATTCACATTTTGTCATGTTTTCGGCTTTCAAGATTTATACTCCATTTCCTCAAAGATTTTTTAGTTCTATTGCTATATTTGTCTTAATTGACATATATCAATAATGAAATTAGGGGTGTACGATAGACTTACCTCCACGTGATGCACCCTGGGCAACCTATATTCATACGGCAAAAAAGTCTATCAATGGGCAGTTGACTTCTGACTTCAAACTGCCATGACCCCACTGTATGCCATATTCGACTACTTTCACAGTACTCACCTCACCTTTTTTCTACCTTCGTCTTTGAAGCACTCTTCTGTTCCCCCCCCCCCTCTCGACTTTTTTCACATTGATGTTCCTCCCCCTCTGTGAAGCCTGAAGTCAACTAATGGGCTAATGATAACTATCAAAACGCTTGCCATTTGATATAAATAAATACAATGAAATTTTAAAATATTTTTTTTTTATTTTTTTTTAATTCTCTCATCCATGGAAGGATTTTAAGTTTGACTCAAAAAAGCCTGCATCTCAGGTAAAATTTAATTACTATAGTTCCAATTTTTATTATAACACTTCCCAAGCTACTTTCATTTAAGTATAAGTAATATTCTGACATTCTATTGGATAACGATCTGGGAAAGGTACGGTGAGAAAAGTATGATCTTTAATTGCCATGGCAACAACGATATGACTGGTGCCAGCCTCAGACGTCAGTTCTATTTGCAGTGCTTGAAAAGAAAGTGGGGCGGTGGGAGGAGGGGTGGGGGAGTGTTTCTTGAAGAAATTAAATTCGAGCCTTCGAATGTACTTTATGGATAAAAAGGGTACTATTTGTCGATTCTCATAAATTCGTGAAATTCGATGTGCAGGAAATCAATATGCCTCAGAAATTACCAACTGGGGTTCAAGATGACAAAGGACAGACTCCAAGGTAATGTGGAATTGATTTAATGGGCACAATCGAGGAATAGGCTGCATTTTTATTGAACGATGAATCGCCAAATACTTCAGGCATATCTTCAAACATCGATATTCGGGAACTTAAATAGCCCTCTCTTACAAACCTTTCAAATTTATTTGAATCAATAACTACTACGTGCAGGGTTTAGGCCAGAGAGGTTTCCTATGCATTCCACCTTCACAGTCTCAACACGTTACCTGTCGCCTTGTCATCCAAATGATTTATTTATTTCAAATGGCAGGCGTTTTGATAAATATCATTAGCCATTTAGCTGACTTCGGGCTTCACAGAGGGAAGGTTCATCAAAATAGCAGAAAGTCAAGGGGTGGGGAACAGAAGAATGATTCACAGATGTAAAAGAGGCAGACAGACACAAAGGTAGAGAAAAAGGTGAGGTGAGTACTGTGAAGGGTCGAATATGACAACCAGGGGGGTCGTAGTAGTTTGGAGGGAGAAGTCAAATGCCGGTTAATAGACTTTTTTGCCGTATGAGTATACCTTGCCCAGGGTGCACCACGAGGAGGTAAGTCTATTGCACACCCCTGTCATCCAAATGAAATTGACGATATTATGCTCACTGATTACATCTCATGAGCATTTCAAGCACTGCGCATATTCCTAGCAAACCGAATTGCTGCGTGAAGAGACTTTCCAGGGTTTCAATAGAGTCCCCTCATTTGAATTTTTCGTCGATCTTGTGCCTTAGTTATAATTTGACGAATGACCAAATGACCGCATATTTTTTTGTCATATTGTGTGGTTAGAAGTAAATGCCAAACCCNCTTTGAAACACTCTTCTGTCCCCCCCCCTCTGTAGACTTTTTTCAATTTGATGTTCCTTCTCCTCTGTGAAGTCTGAAGTCAACTAAAGGGCTAGTGATAACCATCAGGACGGCTGCCATTTGATATAAATAAATATTCCTATCATATAAGGCGATATATAGAAATTAATTGTGCATTAAATCCCGTATATAATTGTGATATTTGTTCGTTCTTAATTAATATATTCAGGCATTAGGAATGGAGGTCAATCTGTTCTCTCTTTTCCTATTCCATTAATTTTTGCGTCAAGAATTGCAATGGCTCCCACTTCATGGCAAATGACTTCAATTGGGGAAATTAAAAATTAATATTAATAAAGTTAGGCATTTGACATTTAAGAGGTAACAAATTATCTGCAAAAGACATCAAATTTCCATGTGACTGAAGATTGGCTGGAATGCGGAATTAAAGCTCTAGCGTTATCTTCACTGGTAATCTGCTTACAGAACCCATTCATATAATAATTTCTTTAAGGTCATTACTTTATTCAAACAAAAACTAAGCTTCGCTAAACCTCCAGATGTATTTATTTCAAATTCACTCAATGCCATAACATTTATTTATTTCAAAATATATATATATATATTTATTTATTTCAAATGGTAGGCGTTTTGATAGCTATCATTTGCCATTTAGCTGACTTCAGGCTTCACAGAGGGAAGACATTAGCCATTTAGCTGACTTCGGGCCTCACAGAGGGAATGCCATATAGCTGACTTCGGGCTTCACAGAGGGAAGGTTCCTCGATTTAGCGGACTTCAGGCTTCACAGAGGGAAGGTTCATCAAAATAGCAGAAAGTCAAGGGGTGGGGAACAGAAGAACGATTCACAGATGTAAAAGAGGCAGACAGACACAAAGGCAAAGCGATTCACAGATGTAATAGAGGCAGACAGACACAAAGGTAGAGAAAAAGGTAAGATGAGTACTATGGACAGACACAAAGGTAGAGAAAAAGGTAAGGTGAGTACAGCACAGACACAAAGGTAGAAAAAAGGTGAGGTGAGTACTGTGTACAGACACAAAGGTAGAGAAAAAGGTGAGGTGAGTACTGTGAAGGGTCGAATATGACAACCAGGGGGGTCGTAGTAGTTTGGAGGTAGTAGTCGAATTTGACATACAGTGGGGTGATTGTAGTTTGAAGTCATGTCAAATGCCGGTTAATAGACTTTTTTGCCGTATGAGAATGTAGGACATATAGGGGGGTCATGGTAGTTTGAAGTGAGAAGACAACTGCCAGGTTTTTGCCGTATGAGTATACCTTGCCCAGGGTGCACCACGAGGAGGTAAGTCTATTGCACACCCCTGTCATCCAAATGAAATTGACGATATTATGCTCACTGATTACATCTCATGAGCATTTCAAGCACTGCGCATATTCCTAGCAAACCGAATTGCTGCGTGAAGAGACTTTCCAGGGTTTCAATAGAGTCCCCTCATTTGAATTTTTCGTCGATCTTGTGCCTTAGTTATAATTTGACGAATGACCAAATGACCGCATATTTTTTTGTCATATTGTGTGGTTAGAAGTAAATGCCAAACCCAAGGGCACCTTTTCTAGTTTTACTTGATAGTCTGTGAGAATTAAATATATATATCACTCTTTAGTTATTGATTATTCGATCAGGCATTTTGAAACTTGTCGTGTGTGTGTGTGTGTGTGCATTCGAAAATTGCAGTTGAATGGGAAGGCAGTTCAAATCGATTTTCACTCTCATTTGAACTGCGGAGTGGAGGAAGTGTGAATGTTTTTTTGCTACTAAAATATATCCTTCTCTGATTTCTGCAAGTGACTCAGAGGCGTTTGCAAAAACCCATTTTTGCTGAGATTTTGTTCTGAGGCAGGCAGAGAATAGATGCATGCTGGATACTTGTGGTCGTCGAAGTTCCCATTCAAGCCATGAGTCTTGAGGCGTCTGTTTGCATTTAGGTTGAAATTTAAATTTACCTCTTACTTTGATCGCATATTTTTGGGGCTCCGTAGTGTGTCTGGTCCTTCTGTGGAGAGTTCGAGAGGAGACATGCACTGCCAAGGCCCCTTCCCCTCCCTAGGTATAGGTATGACAGAGGTAATACAATGAAACGATGGTCTATTTTGAATTGGCCAAACAGCCGAAAATTTGACGTACTTACTCGAGGTCACAACTTGCACTAAGAACGAGCGTGTTGTTCTTGTAAGACATAGAGACGTAGGAGTGTTACAGTTTTTGCAGAAAATTTCCGTTGGAGAAACGAACTCTGCTTATGGCTTTGAGTGACCGTGGATTTTAGCAGATGCTGCAAAACTATGCTCCTTCTTTCGCATCATGGGGTGCGTGATAGAGTTACCTCCACGTGGTGCACCCTGGGCAACGTATACTCATACGGCAAAAAAATCTATTAACTGGCAGTTGACTTCTGGCGCAGTACTCATCCTACCTTTTCTCTGCCTTCATGTCTGTCTTTTTACATCTGTGAATCACTCTTCTGTTCCCCACCTCTCGACTTTCTGTTCCTTTGATGTTCCTTCCCCCTGTGAAGCCCGAAGTTAGCTAAGGGGTTAATGATAACTATCCAAACGCTTGCCATTTGATATAAATAAATAAATATTTCGCATCATTAGCCTTCGTCGAAGTCGAACTAGATGCAGACAAGTGAAACTTGTCACATGCAGAGTTCTCAACCTGAGATTTTGGGATATTTACTGCCGAAGACCAGGTGAATTGAGAAATGGGTCGGTAATTGGCCAGGAGCTTTTCACGCACGTCTGCATTTGCTCCGTGTGGAATGGCTGTACTCTTCCAGTAGCAATCAGCTACATCAGTTTATGGAAGACAAATATCTCAGATATGTTCCTAAACCACTCCTCAACAAAACCCAACCTCAACTAGTGTTTTTGCATGGCAAAGATTGCTATATCCCAGAAAAGTCGAACATAATCCGACCGCAGTTATCTAATGCAGTTAACTTCGAATTTGGCAGATAAAATGAGAGACGACTGAATAGAATGGACTCGACCTAAGCGTAGAAGCCACAGAATAAAGTGAATCTCCTGCCAAACTTTTATTTCAAAGGCATTGACAAAGTGAATTCACACATCTGCATATTAGAGAAATGCGCCTCCTTAGGGTGGG